ATAAATTTTGTTTGCTTTTTTTAGTAGTTTGTGCTTTATCTAGGTTTTAAATAAATACATATGCTTAAATATACTAGAATGTATTTTTATTTTTCCTATTATTTTAACAAGCTTACCGGAGTGGCTATCTTTAAAGGGTATTTGCGTAAGTTTCTTCGTCGAAGAAACCTTTCCCGGTTATATATAATTTGAAGTCCGCCTTGTACAGTCCACTTCCCCCAAAGCGATAAGGTAGCGCCGTCTCGTGGATGTGGGTACACATCGTAAATATGAATGTTGTCTACTGCTGATGTAAATCTAGTACCTAAACAAAAACCCTTTCAACAGAGATATAATATGAAATAATAATAGCAGTGTTTCTTAAAGGGTTCGAGCGAACCCTTAGGGGTTCTCCGGTTGATTTTCTTATTGAAGTAAAACTTCTTTTTTCGTGACTGAGGGATAAGCCAATACATTCGAAAAATCAGTGTCGCGGAAGTGAGAGTCAAATTTATGATTATATTTTTTCCCGGATGAAAAGTAACCTGTTGTTTGACGGGCAATATAAGGTATCAGAATGTTAAATTTTACTAAATTAGGTGCATAAGTTGTATAAGTTATTATAGTTTTTTAACTATCCCACAGAAACTATTTAATTTTCCGGGATAAAAAGTATCTAAGATGTTGCCCGGGCACTTGGCAGAAATGTCGAGTTAAACACACCAAAAATAAATATTAAAATAAATAATAATTTGGTAAATGACTTTATGTTAATTACCATTAGCTTCCGAAGGTGCTTTGACAAAAAAAATATCTGCATCGTAACGAGCACTTTGCGCTATATCTGGTAAGGATTCATGTAATATAATCCATTTGTATAAGTTTGAAAAATATTTACGGTCCATCTGCAAATAGAAAAAATATACTAGAGACTAATACGGTTTCACCCGCTTATATTTCTCCCACACGTGCTTAAATACCTCAATTGTGACTATTTGAAAGGTGGTTACAGTTGCGTGTTGGCGGACTTGTATTATAAAAACGAAAGTTTGTGTGTATATGTCTGTTACTTTTTCACGTTGAAACGGCTAAACGAATTTGGATGAATTTAGTAAACAGATAGAGTATGACCTGGAGTAACTTATAGGCGGCTACTTATTGGTATTTAGCCTAAAGGCACTGAAAATTTGGAATTATATTTTTATGTGTGGACTCCAACAAAAAATATGGTGGAAAATTGAAAAAAAATGTCTATTTCCATAACAGCGCCACCTACCAGTTTCTAACATTGGTCAAGCCGTTTAGGAGGAGAAGAATTATAAACGCACGCACGCCGGAATTTTACATATGAAGATATACAATATATATAGTTACATTATACTCATTCATATAACAAAAAATATTTTAAAATTCATACGTTATCCAGTAAGACGTTTGGTGATGGTATGTACAAAACACCTTGCAGTTTGTAATCTTTTACTTGTTCAAGCGAATTTGGGTCAGAAGAAAAAGATACAGGAATGTCGTGTTTGTAGAGTTCACGTGCAATTTTTATACGATCTGTTGAAGATAAATAATAAAATTAATTATTAGTTTGTAATTCGCTTTTGAGCTTCAAATTAATTCTTACAGTTTCTTTTAGTACATATTTTTATGTAGATAGCACATTAATTATCGTATAATATATATATTTCTTCTCTTTTTATATAAAATAAATAAATAAAAAAAAATAAAAAATTCTTTTTATATATTAAACAATAAATAAAATTCAGAATAATTTTTAATTTTCACGTATGAACATACATATACCTATTTATTTCATATTATGGTTTTATGAATCTCCATCATAGCAATCTCATGAGGCCCTTAGTATACGTATCCAAGTGATTTATTGCAATATATTTGCATTATTATCTTGAGGAATATATATAGATACTAGCATTCGCCCGCGTTCAGATGACCAAAAACCAAATTCTTAGGTTTTACATATTAGTATACTCTTACATTGCAGTTTTTGTATTTTTTCTCAGAAATAGACATTTTCCCGCGGTAAAGAGTGTCCTATATGTTGATTCGCACAACCAGCTATCACTATACCAAAATTCATCAAAATCCTTCCAGTGGTTTTTCTGTGATGCGGTAACAAACAGACAGAAAGACAAAAATTCTAAAAACTATAGATTCGGCCTCTGTATCGATAATAATGTTTATTTCAATAAGATTTTCCACAAATTATTTAACGTACAGGTTCGGCTTAGTTACAATTTTATTATACGAATAGATAAAGTGAATCCTGTAAACTACCTCTATCCAAAAAACTGGCAATTTGTTGTTTTTTATAATGCGAAAGTAATACCTACTAACAGATATAAAATTAATTCACAAAAAGTAAATTTTATATGTTACCATGATCAGGCAGGCATGTTAAGACGATAATGCTTCCAACGACTTGGTATCGGAATAATTCTGCGATGGCTGCTAAGAGTGTCATTGCGACGTGTTTATTGCTGTCTGTCTTTCAGTAGAATTGGTCCCTTACTTATATCGCCTTATATAGTGTTTTTGTTTATACATATTGTATTATTTCAAAGCTTTCATCAGTTACCTGAATTTTCTTTTAAGGAAAATTTTTAGATGCTCTTCCTTTAAAGTGTATGGGTAGCTATAATTATAAATGTCATAAGAGAGTTTACAACGTTTGATATCACGAATAGAATTAATTTATTTATAAACTAGCGGTTCACCCTCGCTTCACTCGAGTTCGTCCTAACGGTTCATGTGAAATAGATACCACCATTATATGATCTGTGATACCACCGATCCGTCAATCTGTTTCGACGTAAAAGAAGGACAAACAAATAAATAAACAAACAAACAAACAAATAAACTTTCACATATATAATATTAGTATGGAATGGATATGGATGTATGCACATAAATCGCTTTATTATTTAAAATAGTATTCAACTTTTAAATAAACCAGAGATAGTAAATAGAATTCCTATTATAATAATTTAAAATGTACAAAAATACTCATGTGTTTATGTTTATAATAAGTACATGTTGTGTAGAAAGACCCTTATTTGAATTAATCCTTAAACGAATTGCATTTGCAAGGAAACCACCCAAATTATAGACTACACGCTCCGTAATAACATACTGTTTACACTACACATACTATGTATTAAACTGTTTGTTAAATATTGAAATACAAAATTTAGTAAAAAGACCTTTATTTTGACATAAATTAGTTTTAAATTACAAAAATAAACTTTTATACTTAATAAATACTATGCTTAAAAATTATTAATAATGATAGCACCCACAAGACTTATGTTCTAAAGGTTTTGGCTCTAAAGTAATTGGAACAGGAGGCGGTACCATATAAGCATTCATCGGTAATCCAGGGCTTGGTAAGCCACAGGGACATGGAGGTGGTGCTGGTGGTACTAAAGATATTACTATTGGTGGAGGTGCTGGTGCAGGGTGGTAGAGCGGCGCTGGGGGTAGCATCATGGGAGCTGGGGGTGGAGCAGGTAAGAATATGGGCGCCGGTGGGGCTGAAAGACATACGGGAGGTGGAGGTGGAGCTGGAAGACATAGGGGGGCTGGTGGTGGTGCAGGCAGGAAAATTGGGGCTGGTTGAGGCGCTGGAAGACATAATGGTGCAGGCGGACCTTGAAATATAAGAGGTGGTGGAGCAGGAGCCGGTAAAATAAGAGGTGGAGGTGGTAAAACTAGTTGTGGTAAGCAAGGAGCTGGGGGTGGCGCAGATAAAATTATTGGAGGTAACGCTGCTGGTAAAGCGCATGGAGGCAAACAGGGTGGCGCAGGAGGAGCGGCTGGCATCAACACAATCGTAGCTGGCGGAGGTGAAAGCTCTTTATGTCCACATTTACTGCAAAGCGATTTATCCTTTTTTTCTGTAAAGAAAATAGTATTGGTCGTTAAATTTGCACTACTTTTATTTACTTCGGCTTATAATAATCTTGTGAAGTACTTACCAAGTTTTGATGCTAATAACGGTTTCAGAAGTCTGTAAAATAGAAACAAGCACATTAGTAACTATCGAATCTCAGTAAATAAAAAAAAAATATTAATTTACTTACGAAGCCAATACAGTTTTCTTGCATTCCTTCATCTCCTTTAAAGCTTCCAGCTGTAATAATGGGAAAATAATTAAATTTCACAACAAAAATGATGAAAAGATTAACTTTTATTTAAAAATTTAACGTACCAAACATAATCCCTTTTCGTCGCATGCTATAACAAAATTTGAAGTGAACATCATTACGCAAAAGGAGGCCCAAAAAAATTTTTGCCTCCCCATTTTTGCTCTAGACAAAATTAAATCTTGCTTGGATATGTTGAAAAAACTTAAAGTGTTAGCTATTTAAGGAGTTGATATTGAAACTTCTCAGACGTGATTGCTTACAGAGATATCTCAAAATGACTAAATTTTCATATGATAAGATCAAACGTGTTGATAATTGATTTTTTATTTCATCATTCAAATTTAAGTTTTATCAGGCAAATAAATTATCACTTATTGTATGAAATATGTTATCATTAAAAAACTTATAAATAACGCAAAAAGTGTTTTTCCTTTGCTTCTAACAATATTCTATTAAGAGATGCAGTTTAAAAGATGCATTTAAAATCAACGATCCTATTAGAAAATTAATTTAATTGTGTTATAAGAATAGCCTAGTTATTTTGCGATATTATAATTCAAAGAAACTTAAGGAAAAGCACTTGAATTATTACGCCTCATATAAATATTCTTGATAAAGGACTTAATAATTATTTTTATAATTTTTAAAACACTGTCAATATTTCAAAGTATCGTCAGTAAAGACGAAATTTACTAAGTGTGTATATTGGAAGCCGAGCTCAGTATTTAACTGTTACATCACGTGATTAATCATAACCATATCTGAAGATAATGTAACTTGTATCGCTGAGACCAGTTTATTTTTAACCGTGTTTAAAGTCAATGCGGACTCACAGTTCTATGTAAAATGACCGTTAAATTAATTGTTTATTTTCAACTTATTTGGATTTTAACTTTTGTAAGTATTCTTATTTTTTTGTAGCAATATCTGTTTATTTCTAAATTTTCCTTCAATTTCAATTAAAGCGGCCATTTCAATAATTATTCTAATACAATTGTTTCTTTATACTAAAGTATCTACAAATCTGGGAATGGATATTTGATAGTTTATTTAATTAATTTAAAAACTGCTTTAGCTTTCTTGACTGTTGAAATTTGCCGCACACAATTTATTTGAAGTAGGTATTACTGGTTTAAAGAAACACAATATTCAATTATTTAGTTCTTATATATGTACATATGTATATTCTTTTAATTTTCGTGTTAAAATTCAAATATTGTTTACAGTTAGTTATTCCTCATTTTGATGTTGAAAGAAAAATAATAAAAAAGGATTCATTTAAAAAAAACAATACAAGAATAGACTGATTGAAATTTATTGGGAAAAATACATAGCTAACATTAAAAAAAACTAATTACTTCTTATTTAGATGAGATTAACATAAAAAATAAAAATATATGAAATCAAAATTTTACTAGGATTTAGGTACAGAAATTTGTAAGTGCGTATAATAATATGAGTTATTTATTGAATATTAAAATTTCTTGCAGATACAATATTCCAGCAGCTTGAACCTCGGCCTTTTATCTGGTGATTTCAGACGAAATTCGAATCCTTTGATAATAAAGAAAAATTCTCACCATGCCCCTGTCACTATCAATATAAAGCCTGGAGTGTCAAGACCACTTAAGTTACCCACGTCTTTACCCTCACTCAAACTCTCTTCCAAATCGCCGGTAATGAAAGCAAAACTTAAATCACGTATAAAATCAGCAATACGGTCTAAAAAATTGCGTAAACTACCCAGGTTACCTAAATTACCTCTCTTACCTTTAATACCAATACCGAGATTACCGAAATTACCCTTGTTACCAATTTTGCCTATTTTACCACCCAAATTACCTAGTCTGACTAAATTAATGAGGCCTCTTCGTATTCCAATATTAAGTAAAATAAAGTTACAAAAAGCTTTAGGCTCGGAGTTAAAACCAGTAAAAGTTCCTGCACCAAAACCAAAAACAAAGAGGCACATCTTGGAAAAATTATTGAAATTAAAAAAATCTGGATCTTTGACCACACCAGAATTTTTACGATTTAAGAAACTTTTACTATAAAGTGTTTTTTTATATTAAATGCTATATTTATGTTATATCTTTTCGTTTTATTTTCCTTTATTAACCGACTTCCAAAAACGAAGAGGTTCTCAATTCGTCGGAATCTTTTTTTTTATGTATGTTCACCGATTACTCGAAGACGCCTGAAACGATTTGGAAAATATCTATAATGGAGATTTGTTTTGTTCGAAAGGGTGTAATTCCCAGGTGGTCCCATATAAATTTTATCGTAATCGGTCTAGCGGTTTTAAAAAAAATCAACAATAAATATAAAAAATTATAATAAAATAAAAAAAATCGAAAAAATAAAATAAAAAAAATAAATAAAAAAATAAATAAATAATAAAATAAATAAATAAAGTTATAATAAATTATAATGTAAAAATTTTTAAACAAATTGTTTAATCGAATATGTTATTAAAAACTTTCTTCCTACAAATTACCTGCTTATTACGTCTACACTAAAAATATAAAAATAAAAACTTAAAAAAAACCGATTTCCAGGCACTAAAATGTAAAAAATAACTAAACAGGGGTTTTCATTTATGGCTAGATAGGTCCAGGTTACCGCATGCATGACTATTAAATATTCTCGTACCTAATCAATAAAGAGCAATAACTTATAACTTTTAATAAGTTTAAAAAAAAATTATGGTATAAACCCCAAGAACTATTCAGATTAAACATTCCATACATCGATCCATCATCGATCCATTCGATTAACTTAGAATTTACTAATTTTTTACTGTGTCTGTTCGCTCGATAGATACATCGATAAAATCTAGCCTTTGTAATAATCCTGAATATAAGCTGTCTCCATTCTTTATTTCACTCAAATCCGTCGAGCGGTTACATTGTGAAGTAAGAAACAATAATTAAAATAAATCACAAAATATAACAATTAATTATTCTCATTTTTAACAGGAAGTTAGACATATTAAACAATTTACTAATTTAAAATTATTTAATTATAATAAAAAAAAAATCTCTTATAATTTACACAGTAAAATTTTATAAAGATTTATATATATCTACAACATAAAAAACACTTTTTTATATTTGTGTTTCACTTGAAACCTTTGTCACTTTCAGATAACAACTGCAGCAGTTGTAGTTCATGATTTTGTTTAAAGAAACTATTTATATTAGATTTTTGGTCTTAAAATTGTCCGTTAGTACATTGACAGCTTTCATCAATGTATCCTTGAACTTCACGAGCTGAGATATGAGCGGCCACGCCATTGGCCTGTCTTCCGCCTTGCATGTGAAACACGATTGTCTCATTGGAGTTAGCAGCGATTTCTTTGTTAATATACTGGCCTGAAAAAAAATAGTCTATGAATATAACTATTAGGGACATCTGTATAATATTTGTTGCCTGATCAATAAAGCCTGATAAAAGAACTACATGGCCAAAACAAACACACTAATTACGCGGTGTGACATTAGAAATAATTGAAAGAGACTGATATATTCAATAAAATAACGTACAATTGCTTTATGACAACAAAATGAATTTATTTTTTGTATAAATTAAATAAAATACTTCTTATAATTTATAAATAATATATTCCTATAATTGACTAATATGCCATAATTTGCTCTTGGGTAGAGTCTAAGATGTCGTAATCTGCATCCAAATACACACATTTTTGTTATACCTAAGTTGAAAATAGAATAAAGCGGACTTAAATAAAAACAAATTCATGTAAACGAATAGCGGTAATAACGATGCCAACAATAACACAAATTCGGTTTCAATAGTAAATAGGTCTTGCAAAGCATATAAGTATATATATATGTGTGTGTGTGTGTGCTTAATAAAATTCTACTATAAACATTAACCTTTCCACTTGAATATTATAAACTTTTATTAATTAAAAATACGTTAAATTAATTATAGGATTTAATTTTTAGAAGACATTTTAATTAATTTAATTATAGAATGTTTTATATAAATGTTATATATATAAAAAAAACATATTTAATGTTGGAAAATGCATTTATGACTACCACCTATATAGTACATACAGGTTATGTGGGACTCTCTAGCTAGAAAAACCAGTACTACCCACTAAAACCGAACAGAACCTCCGTCTTAATGGGGCGTCGCAGGACCGCTTACGCACTCAACCACGACGCCCCGACATCTATCCTGTCGAAGCAGACCACACAACCAAGGGTCAAAATTATTTAATACAGACATACCTGTACAATGCTTACAGCAAGCAGCACCAGGCAGGTCCATACCAAGCCTCTTCTTACATTCATTCTCAAAATAATACTTCGTTATGAGATACAAAACTAGTGCGCCCGCGTAACAACCGTTGGTAACCCACTGCATCGTTTACTCACAATTCACATATTTTGGTATCACGTAAGATAGATAAGTCACTACTGAATGTATTCAGCCTTGATGACCTCAGCTTTCGTATATCACCTGGGCAAATCTGTTTTTTTTTTGGAAATTGGTACAAATTTGTCGATTGTATTGAGAATTTGAATATTTTATGGGAAAACTGTTTTACAATATTATACCATATAAGGTCAAGGTTAAACATTTTATAGTTTAAAAAAATACAGGTACACTTATACTTTGATGAAAAGGAATTTTCTGTTGCTCTTATATTACTCGACTAGATGGATTTCAATGCTTATAAGATATGTACAATAAAACTTTTTTATTGTACATATTATCTAGAAATTTCGATTGTTACATGAGAATATAACATATGTACATATATGCCTAATTGAAATAAACATCCATTTCTTCTAGATTCTTACCTATTTAAACAAGCAGATCAGCAAACAGTAGGCAACCGCGGAATTAAAAACAGCAAAATTTTAGCTCTATATAAGTTTCTGTATAATATTCAGTTCATTTCTATATACATTTTTGTATTTTTAATATACTCTTTCTTACGAAAATATATAATTAAATATTAATCATTTATTGGATTCACCCAGCACGATTGTCTCCAAGAACGCTGATCCTACAATTTTAACTATGTACGTGACTCTTTTGAGTCAAGCGAGTTAAAATGTAAACTTGACACGACTAGCATGTCTCGGTACGTGGCGTTAGCGGCTTTACTTTTGGTTGGTATTTCTTCATCACACCAGCACATGTAAATAATAATTCATTAGCATCAAAAATATTTGAGAATCTTAGAACTATACGAGTCAAAAACTTATCTTCTATCAATAGTGCAGTGTTTTGTGGTTTGCATTTGGAAACCAGTATATTTTCTTGATAACATATATTTTCGGTAATAAAATGAATATTGTTAAAGTGAAAAACATAAATTTAAAGTGAATGGATTGAATTGCAGGTAGAGCTAGTGAGGAGTGCTCCTCCTCCATTACGAGTGACAATTGACTGTGGATCTGATGAGGTGCGCATATTTTAATTGATTATTTATTGGAATAAAAGTTGCATTACATTTTGATTTCATTACTAAAACTCAATGTCTGACAGTTTTTGTCACGTGTGCGAGGGATATGATGTTTATTATTTATTATCAAATTATTTTACCATGCTTAGTATATTTTACTTCAATATAGGTACGCTAGAGAATTTATGGCTAAAAGATTTCACATTGTAAGAAAAAGTGCTGGTTAAGTAAAACTCGGCATATGGGCTTACAAGCGACGCGAGAGGGGCGAGGGGGGAGGGAGGGGGTTGGGAGATGTCACCCAAATCAATAAAAATATTGGGTTTCTTTAGTTTTTTATAATTAATAATTTGCAAAATTACGTTGATAGCATTATCATTGTCAAGGAACTTTCAAGATTACACTAAATACGAAAGTTTTTTTTTAAATTAATTCATAGTACTTTCTAATGTTATTTTAAGATAAATATAAAAGTAATAAGTATTTTTTATAAGTATTTTTTATTTTTACAACTCTTTAGAGCAGAGCAATTACACATAAATAAATTGTATAAGCAGAAATGCGGGCAAGCGCCAATACTAGATTGGGATAAAAGACTATTAAAGACTTTTCAGAATTTAATAGCAAATTCAGACTTAACATCGACATATGTATGTACCTTCAAATTCATAAATACGGCTTCTATAACATTAGTGTATTTAATAGTGATAGTGTATATAAGAGTGACACTGGTGGAGATCAGGCACAGAATCGATAGCTTTACGTGATCTCCGTGGCACGGGGGCAAACTAAACCAATTATCCAAAGATATTAAATATTATTTGGAAAATCTTATTGAAATAATCATTATTATCGATACAGAGGCCGAATCTATAGTTTTTAGAATTTTTGTCTTTCTGTCTGTCTGTTACCGCATCACAGAAAAACCACTGGAGGAATTTTGATGAATTTTGGTATGATGATAGCTGGATGTGCGAATCAACATATAGGACACTTTTTACCGCGGGAAAATGTCTATTTCTGAGAAAAAATACAAAGACTGCAATGTAAGAGTATACTTATATGTAAAACCTAAGAATTTGGTTTTTGGTCATCGGAACGCGGGCAGAGCCGCGGGCAATGCTAGTATATCTATATTTTGTCAAGAAATTCACAGTAACGGGCTGTTACAAAACATCTAATACTTGGCCTAGCCCAGGACTCTACTCTCTGACTCTACACTAGACTACCGAAGCAACTGAATGGTCTTATATGTATTTGACCGGTATTACCTACTAATATTGTCTACTTAAGGGCTACAGTGCATTCCCTTTATTTAAGGCGAGGGGAATGTTTTATATGTATATTATTATTATCTCATAATAATAAATCCTAATCTATACTATAATAAAGCAGTGACTTAGCGAAATCTCTACATGAAATATTTTTTAAAAATAATGACTGTAACGTATTATGTACACAATATATACTCCAAAACAATAGTTATTATAATTTTTGTCTGTTTGTGTTTGCCTGTATGTCTGTTTGTGTGTGCGCGTTTCACGCAAAAAGTAATGAACCGATTTCAATGAAATTTGGCGAAGTGATAACTTATTATTCGGGTCAACATTTAGGATACCTTTTACTACAGGCAAATTTTTCATTCCTAAAGGACAAAACACAGTAACTATTGAGTTGTCCATAGAAATTTATATGGCTAACGCTGGCTAAACCTTAAGAGATACATCAAAACAATGTACCTACTAGAAAATTGAAGGCCTTAAAAAGGTCTACAGAAAATCCCGTAATAGATCGGGGGGCACAGCAGTGTCCCCAAGTCGAGCATATATATATATATATATATATATATATATATATATATATATATATATATATATATATATATATATCTATCTCCTAAGGAACACTCGCAATAACTATTTTTATTATATATTATTATATTAAAGGCAATGTAGCGACTCACTGACTGCCTTATCAATGTTTAGCCCAAGCCGATGATGATATACCACTAAAAAAGCCAGCTTTATATATCCATACTAATATTGAATGCGAAAGTAACTTCGTCTGCCTGTATGTCTGTGACTTTTTCACGCCTAATCCGCTCAACTGATTTAGATGAAATTTGGTATGGAAATATATTATGACATAGGATAGTTTTCATCCCGAAAAACATTATATATAAGGGGGTGTAAAGGGGGGTGGAAGATTCATCATTTCTTAAGTAAGGGATATATAATTTTTTTTATTTTTTATAGTACTTACGTACTTTTCTATATCTATGTATGTACATTGTATATATATGTATATATAGTCTATTCTATACTTATCGTTAAAACGTACCTACCTAGGAACGAGCCCGAGCGAAGCGAGGGTGAATCGCTAGTTCTTAATAAAGACTTCTTTTATTTGATAAGTTACTACACTACAATAGATTAAAACGTTTATTTAAATTTCCTAATTTGTATTCTAAAGCAATCTCAAATATTAGAATCCGTTAATTTATGCTATACACCAATAAATTACAATAATACTTTCGTAGATTAACGCCAATATTTTTAATGAAAATCTTTTCGGATTTTGTCGTGGTTTTATTTTATATTTTGATGGTTTGGTTATTTAGTATTTTAAAAAAATAAATTTTCAATTTAAATATTTTTACTTAAATTTCATATAATTTATTTCCAGGATCCAGCACAGATCCAGCACAGAAGCAGGTCATCTGAATTATTGAAAAGTAATTCACGCTTTGACGTTAATTCATTTTGCAATCTCATCCATCGAGCCATCCCTCAGGCTGTGAAAGATGGGCAGTTCATCATCGAGCCAGATTTTGACCAGGATGGACAAGGTGATACGACAGCACCAGTGGCTGTTGCTCCACCTAGTAGTTTCATTCCAAAATTATTGCCAAAGTTAAAGCCCCCTAGACTTAGAGTACCCGGTTTAAACGTACCAAAGTTGAAACCAAGCATTCATAGTTCTTTCAGGGCACCGAAAGTTGGATCACCAATGCCTTTCCCAAGACTCAGATATGAAGAAGAATCTAGTGCTGAAAGAATGGAGAAATTTAAAAAGGGCGTACAGCACATGCTTCATTTCGTGAAAGTTCTGGGAAAAATAGATCAGTACATTTCCGAACGGACTCGAATTGTTGTCGATAAACTTGCAAGGACGTTTGCTGATTAGTTCTTATTATGGAGGGTAGAGGTAAGGAGAACCGTCTTATATGGGAGGGAAGCTGAAAAGGTGTCCAGCTGTATGCTGAAAATAGATGCAATGGGCGTGCGAAAAACTACGATATGAATTTAGCTGTTGTAGACGGAGTGAAGTGTGCGGAGTTCAAAAATTAAAAAAAGATCATTACTAAAGTAGTGAAATGAAATGTGAAATACCAATATACAAAACCTCAACCTATTTACGTAGCTACTTACTTACTCTGCTTTTGGCGCAGCACCACTCTTATCAAACGCGTTTTGATGGACATTTTTTCATACACAGACGCCTCCCCTCTACCCTCCATAGTTCTGATGTATACTAGTATTTTTTTTTAACGTTGGGAAATGCGTTTACGCACGACGTGTGGGACTCACCGGCGTAATACAGCCAGTACTACCCACTAAAACCCAACAAAACCTTCCCCCGTCTTAATGGGGCGTCGCAGGATCGCTTACGCATTCAACTACGACGCCCTGACGGCAGGTCTGCCAAAGCAGACCACCACAACCGTGGGGTTGCTCCAAGGTCCACTCTGCTTTCAGAGAAGTACCAGGAGCAACCCGCAAGGTACACCGCCCCCCGAAGAGGGCCACCTCCCACCGCCCACCGAAGTAGGCAACCTCCCTGTGCGTTTCTTAGCTTCGCTACTACTACTGAGCCCCCCCACCACGACAAGGTGAACGCACGTTGGGGGGGGGGGGGGGGGGGGGTAGATGTATACTAGTATGGTTATCATAATCAAACTTTATTAATAATGTACTATGAAGCAGTATGTAAATATACAGTATTATAAAATAAAGTAGATTAATTTAAATAAATTCTAAATGACATATGAGGCTACATTTTGTATTATTTGCTTTTGTACCTCTGTCTGTGTTTTTTTTTTGCTTAGTCTACGACAACTACACATGATGCCTTGTCTTTAGACTTTTTGTTCTCCATGTTTCGGATGCTTGCAGTAAATCAACATGTTTGCTTTAATAGTCCAATAAGATCCCGATCTATGTGGTGGACCTCGCACTCTTTTTCCAGGTGAAATTTATTTCTTAAACCATAAAACGTATTAAAAAACACGACCCAGGGAGGTTGTCACCAAAAATTGCCTCCATGCTATTTTTAATTAAAAAAACCTCTAGGTCTGGAGATGTTTTGGCACAACAATTCTATATCATTAATATTATAATAAAATAATTATCTACATTTTGATACTTGGTTGGTTTCGGAAAATACGATCCGATACGAGCAAATTAACTAGGTAGGTACTTCAATTTACCTGTTTATCCGTGGATGTCAGGTAATGTGGATTCGAAAAAGGCCGCCAACAGTAGGATGGCATTTTCTACAAGTCTACTTCCGATTGATAGGTACTAATTTATCACAGGAAAAGGGTTCTTATACTTTTAAAAAAATGTGCATGTGTGTGCAATTTAATCACGGTAGAAGTAAATCTTCAGAAAATTAACCTACGAGAGAATGAGATGAATATAGAGTATCAGGAGTAGGATAATTGTAAGGTTTATTTTTTTATAATATTTTTACCAAGTTTAAAAGTCATTTAACATTTTATTTGACATAAATATACATAACATATTATTTAGTAATTAATTTTAATATTTGTCACTTCCTATGTTTTCTATCTCAAATATTAAAATAAAACCTTTTTTGGCAAATATTGCAATTAAATTAAAACAAATCAATCATTAAATAAGGCGTATTAGACATATTACAATCATATATTTATAGAATATCATATACGGAAAGAATATAGTATTTTATATTTGTCAGTCAATAACAACGGTTACCATGGCAATGTATTATATCTCATACACTCGCCGTTTTAATCCTACATATTTATGTGTTTGTCTCTTTTTAGTGTTGTAGTTCCGTTTCATTGAGTTTTAAATCACAACGATTCTAAAGAAGTTTCATTTTAAACAATCTTTTTTTTAAATTACAAATAACATTGAGCAAATTTTTGGTGACAACCCCCCTGGTCGTGTATGTTAATATGTTTTATTTTAAAATATATATATTTCGCATGGAAAAAGAGTGACGGGTTCACCACAAAGACTGGGATCTCATATCATAAAGCATTTGAGATGTCAGAAATGGAAGATATCGTTTTGTAAATTAACTGATTTTATAACATTTTATTTATTTGTAAATAATGACTACTGATATTTCGGCAAAATAAAGTATTTAGAGAAGTATCATTAATTCACCTTCAACATTTTACAAAGTAGACGGCGCCGTTTGTATAATGATGAATTATAAAATATGTATGCGATATACCCACTATTTAGGTGCACGTCATTTTAGTCTACATATGTACTTACAATAAATTTATCGGTAATAATAATCAAACATTTGTATTCTAAATATAGATTTACCTATAACTAGTCTAAGTCAATAGAATGAAAAGCAAATAAAACACGTATCGGACTTTGTATTGAAGCATATCAAATTATTTGTACCCATTGCCTTGAAAGCACTCCGTAAATATTTTTTCATTGTTATATTTTCTATATATTCGTCGTAGATGCACGACTAACTTAGAGATTAGCTAAAACTTAATGTAATTAGCAATCTATTTACGTTGTAAAATTAATAAATGTCATCACTATATCCGGCACAATTTAGTGTGCTGAGATTGATTTCCATTTTACAATTTCTTCTAAGACTAAGGCGATAAGTGTAGTATTGAAAAAAGTATTCCGTATTAAAGTTCTTTTATATTGCCCTATGGCTTGTTTGATATTGCGAAGTTTACGAAATATAGATATTAATATACATATTTTGAGAGATTTAATGAGTATAAAATTAATATAATCCACTTATTTCATTAAATTTAATACAGACGCCGCTAAAGTGTTAAGTATGATTGAAGTAAATACACGATGGACAATAGACGAAGTTTTTGCATTATTATTGCGGCTGTCAAGGTTGGTTGGAATTGCTCCAATCCGCTTCGAAAAGAATTCTACGAGATGCGTCCGTTTGTCGCATCTTTTCTACTACCTCGGCATTATATTCGTATTGGCATTCTGTAAGTAATACAATATCGTTTTTAACGTCATAAAATACTTTTTGGAGGAAGTCACTGAGTCTAACCGTGGGCACATGACAGATTTTCGAAACGACCAGCGAGAGTTAAGGCAAAGGACTACACAACAAACTCAGGGCTGCTAGTATTTCTTTACAAAAAATATTGATAACTAAACTAGGCCCGACTTGTGACTCGAACACAGGTCTTTCTGATCTGTACCTGTACACGTAAACCTAGATTAACGAGATTATATCTTTAATGTAATCTCGACTGTTATAATTTTCAAAAAAGAAACTTACCCAACATGCTCAATTTGTGCCAGGTGTATCGATGTTGCCTTGATATTAAGCCAAACGATCTACTTGTATAATATTATGACTAGATTCGAGAAGTATGTATGAGTACGTTGTATCCAACATAGCTGGTTCTTACGATAATTTTACCAAATCTGTCTCATCTCCGGCTGTGCAGCTCCAGTGATGATCCTGCACGTTGCTGCTCGTTTTTGTCGTTTTCCGGTGATACCACGTGTATTTGCTTCCTTGGAGTTCCTTTTTTTTTTAACGTTGAGAAATGCATTTACGCACGACGTGTGGGACTCACCGGCGTAATACAGCCAGTACTACCCACTAAAACCTTCCCCCGTCTTAATGGGGCATCGCAGGATCGCTTACGCATTCAACTACGACGCCCCGACGGCAGGTCTGCCAAAGCAGACCACCACAACCATGGGGTTGCTCCAAGGTCCACTCTGCTATCAGAGAAGTACCAGGAGCAACCCGCAAGGTACACCGCCTCCCGAAGAGGGCCACCTCCCACCGCCCACCGAAGTGGGCAACCTCCCTGTGCGTTTCTTAGCTTCGCTACTACTACTGAGCCCCCCCACCACGACAAGGTGAACGCACGTTGGGGGGGTTCCTTGGAGTTCCTGCGTCAATCATCTAATTATACCTATATTACTATAGGGCAGCGTGATCAGTTCTAACCAAAAAATAACGAAACCGCAAATTTTCCTCAAAAATGTACAGTGAATACTGTTAAAATAAAATATATATGTAATAAAAGTTTGAAAAACTTTAATTTAATATTAACAAAAATTTGGTTATTTCAGATATAATTAACGGAGATATAATGTTTTCATTGTATTTAGAACAGTTTAAAGATGAAAATGCAAAAGATGAAAAGATATCATTGAATATTATTTTTAAAAATCCAATTCGCTTTTTCAAATTGATACGTATTACTACATTTATATATTTTCCATTACATGTAGTATTTTTCAATATATTAAGACTTAAAACCTTTTTTTACTGTTGGCGTCGAATTACACAGGTAAAAACCATTATTTTATGAGTTCTCTGAAAGGTCTTAAACATGTGTTAAAAAGTATTTTTAACTCATATTTGTCTTAGAACGATTTTTGATGTTCCGTACAAGATAAAAACAAAATAAAAAAAGGAACCCTTATAAGATAACTCTCTTGTCCGTCTGTCTGTCCGTGTGTCACCGTTGATTTTATCAGGAATGGGTAGAGTTAGTATGTTGAAATTTATACCAGATACTGAGGTGTGTAGGCCGTAACGGGACTTTAATAAAAGTAGTGGACTGTATATAAAGTACGTATAATCAAATTAAGAGTTTGGGGAAGTGTCCGTAGTCCAGCGCGCAGGTAGGCCAAGTGGCGCGATCAGATGCGCTCGCGGTCGGGGAGGGTCCCTCGCCCGCGCAGCTCATACGTCACGCGCCCGGTAAGAGGGAGACGCGCCGACATATTCCCCGGGTTGAAGAGATCTTCAAGATTCAATCGGAAGAGGGCAGATGCAGTTGAAGGCACGACGCACGGTACCCTTCTTCGTCTTCATCTCAGCTACTCGCGTGACTCCGTCGACGCCGGGATAGGTCTTCGTGACCCGACCCAGGGACCAGAGCAACGGTGGTGTAGCTTTATCCTTGATGAGGACCAGGGATCCAGGCTTCACTTCCCCTCTGGAATCAAACCATTTCGATTTGGCCTGTAGTAATGAAATGTACTCATTATGGAATCTCCTCCAAAAGTGCTGTCGGATGAATTGGATTCTTTTCCATCGGTCGAGCCTCGTTATATTGGCATTAGTCAGCAGGGGGTAAGGAACAGATAAGAGTGGTCGTCCAATTAGGAAATGAGAGGGAGTAAGTGCCGAAAAATCTTTAGGGTCTGATGAAAGAGGAGTAAGAGGGCGCGAATTCAAGACCGCCTCTATATGAGTGAGACAGGTGGCCATCTCCTCAAACGTAAAATGGGTTAAATGCAATAATCTTTTTAAATGATGTTTGCACGATTTAACAGCAGCTTCAGCTAGTGAATTAAAGTGGGGGCTATATGCTGGCGTGAAATTAAATTCGATACCCTCCTGAGCTATCTCAGATGCAACATTAGACGATCGTAAAAACCTAAGTAAGTCATTTGATGCGCCTATGAAATTCGTCCCGTTATCGGACGTGATGCTTCGAGGCTTGCCTCGACGCGCCACGAAACGATTTAAAGCAGCCATGTACGCGTCGGTGGTGAGGTCGGAGACGAGTTCCAAATGTACAGCTTTCACTGCTGAGCAAACAAAGATGCACATATATGATTTTATGAGTTTGCTGCCGCGACCTTTCCGATCGGCGATCAATACTGGCCCTGCGTAGTCAACATAACAATGTAAAAATGGAAATTCAAGATGAGTCCTTGAATGTGGAAGTTGACCCATTATAGGCTGAACATTTTGAGCCTTGTATCTGAAACATTTAAGACACTTGTTCACGACAAGTCTAGATAAGTTTCTACCTCCTAGGGGCCAATATGTTTGTCTTATATGTGACAAAAGCAATTGCGGACCTGCATGTAAAAGTTTTAAATGTTGCATTTGAAATATAAGTTTAGTTAATATATGTTTGCTACAAATTACAATGGGATGTTTCATACTAAAATCGTAGGGGGAATTATCAAGCCTCCCGCCCACGCGAATGAGGTTTTGATCGTCTATGAACGGAGTTAAAGGAAGCAATTTACTTTTGCGAGGCAATTTTTTACCAGACTTTAAGAGATTATATTCTTCAGGAAACATTTCAAGTTGTGAATAATGTATAATCAAGTTTAATGAATTTTGTAGTTCTGTATTAGAAAGACTACCACGTAATTTAATTTTATTTTTTAAGTTGTAAATAAATCTTTGTACATAAGTAATTATAATTTTAATTTTTGTTAAGCTAGAATGTTTTTGTAATAAATTATGAATGATAGATGAATTAATGTTTATGTCTGAATTATGAATGACGTATGAATGATTGTTTTCGCTACTATCACTACTGATGAAATTAGATACTACTTCCGGCAAATCGTGTTTCTCTGTATTTGGCATTTTGGGCCATGCATTTTCAACATGAAATAAAAAGGAGGGACCAGACCACCATAGAGGTGTGTCCTTAATTACGTCGGCCCGAAGACCACGGGAAACAAGATCCGCCGGGTTGTCATTCGACGGTACGTAGCTCCAGGTATGACCACACGTGCTCTCTTGAATCTCATGGACTCTATTCCTAACAAAAGGTTTTAATTGTTTAGAAGGAGTGGAGAGCCAACCCAATACTATTGTAGAGTCACACCAGAATCTACAGTTATGAATTGGTATGGTAAGCGATTCTAGCACCTTAGTATACAGTCTTGCACCCAACAAAGCCCCACAAAGTTCAAGCCTTGGAATCGTCGTAGGTTTTATGGGCGCTACACGGTTTTTAGAGACTAAAAGGTGTACCCCTGTGGTTCCAATACTATTACAGGAACGAATGTACACACAAGCGCCATACGCTTTTTCGGAGGCATCTGTAAAGACGTGTACTTCGTGCATAATAGAGTCTTCATGCAAAACCCAACGAGGTATTTTTAAATGATTTAAAGATGTAATTGTATTTTCATACGTAGACCAAAGGTTTTTAATTTCGACCGCTATTTCGTCGTCCCAGTCATATTTATCAAGCCAAAGACGCTGCATGATAATTTTTGCTTCGACAACGCAAGGACCTACGAGGCCTAATGGGTCAAAGATCTGACTGATGACAGAGAGGACATGGCGTTTAGTGATCTTAGTTGAAGGCATAATGTTAATAGAGTATGTAAGTAAATCTAAATCACATACCCAATTAAGCCCTAGAGTTTTAGACTGACTGAAATGTTGACTTTGCTCTGTAAACTGTAAAATATTATTTGTTTCATTGCATTGTGTAATTTGCTTAAGAATATCTGGATGATTGGATCGCCATTTACGCAAGTTAAATTTAGCAAGAGACAGAACCGATTGTACCTTTTTTGAAATTTCGACAGTCTGGGCTATGGTACTTCCCCCACTTAGATAGTCGTCTACGTAAAAATCTCGCCTTATAGCGGATTGAACACGATTATCCTCTACATCATCAGCCAGACTTACTAAGCACTTGGTGGCTAAATAGGGAGCAGATGCGGTACCATAAGTGACCGTATTTAAAGTATAGGTATTTAGAGGCTCTGATGAATCATATCGGAAAACGATTTTTTGAAGATTTCGTTGGTTTGGATTAAGTTCTATGGCTCTGTACATTTTTTCTACGTCACCTGAGACCACATATTTATGCTGACGAAAACGTGTTAATATGCTAAACAGATCGTCTTGAACTACGGGACCGACCATTTGAATGTCGTTAAGAGACACCCCCGTACTAGTAGGGGCTGATGCGTCGAATACTACGCGTAGTTGTGTAGTGGTGCTAGAGGTGCGAATTATTCCATGATGTGGAATGTAATGTTTAACCTCCGATTCTTCAGAGATGGAAACATGGTCAGAAAAAGGATCTAGTGACATATGACCTAGACGTTCATATTCACGCATGAACTCGTTGTATTTAAGTTTGAACGAAGGATCACGTTTGAATCGCCGCTCTAGAGATAAAAACCGTTTTTTCGCGTTTTCATATGAATGACCTAGAGTGTTAAGATCCCCCTTTAAAGGCATAGTAACAACGAACCCACCATCAATGTTACGGACGGTGGTTTGAACAAATATTTGTTCACACATTCGTTCTTCAAGAGAGTGCGAATGTTTTAATGAGACATTGTCAAGCTCCCAAAATCGAGTTAAGTCGGGAGTGACGCTGGAATGGTGGCAAAAATGGGAAAAAGAAGAACTTTGGTTCGAAATGCTACCTGAAACTAGCCATCCAAATTTAGTTTCAAATAATTTAGGTCGATTTTTTCCTAAGTTTATGGAGTTTTTGCCTAACACACTCCAAAATATTTCAGCCCCTACCAGGATGTCTACAACCGACGGAACGTTAAAGTTCGGGTCTGCTAACTTAAGACCTGAAGGAATAGGGACATGTTCGATGTTCACGTATGAAGACGGTAAAAACTTTGTAATTTCAGGCAAAATATGACACTCGACATCGACAGTAAAGGCACAGCATAAAGACTCTATTGTGAGGTGACAAGACTGTGTACTGGTGGATATATGATTATTTAAACCTGTTACCTTGGTGCTCGCACCGCTTAGTGACAAACCCAGTTTCTCTGATAAGCTTTGTGTTATAAAATTCGCCGTACTACCGTTGTCCAGCAATAGACGGGCTGCGTACTTCTTACCGGTCGCGCTGATCACGTTCACCATAGCTGTGGACAGTAAAACATGCGCAGAAGTAGCAAGCTGCATAGAAGTAGCTGATAGCATAACATTTGATGCAGAAGGCGAAGCAGAAAGCCATGGTTTTGAAGATTGTTTGGGTTCAGTAGATTCTAAATGCAATAAAGTATTATGTTTTGTTTTGCAATATTTACAATGAGATAGTTTGCATTGCTTAGCAGAATGTCCAAAGCGTAAGCAGTTAAGACAAACATTATAATCATTAGCTTTTTTAATGCGATTTTCAATTGATAAGATTCTGAAAGATTCACATTTATACAACGAATGAGATTGAGAGCAATGAGGACATTTAATAAAGTTATTATAATTATTGTTTTTAGATTTTTTATTAATTTGAGTAGTGTTTAAGTTTACCTGATTATTATTTAATGCATTAATATTACAAGGATTAGAATTATTACTTGAGTTAGCATCAGGTTCAACGGATACTAACCAGTCTGCTTTCCTACTTAAAAATGAACAAAATTGTTTTAAGGTAGGATCATCCTTAATTGTAAGACTCCTATGTTCTTCCCAGTCACGACTAGTAATAAAGTCTAATTTTTTAACTAAAATGTGTAAAAGCAATGTGTCCCAAAATTGAACGGGCTGTTTAAGTTTTGTTAATGCTCTTACATTTTTGTTTATAACGTCTACTAAATTTCTAATAGGGATGCTCGATTGTTTCAATATTGGCTCGATATCAAAAAAAGCTTGGATATGATTGCTTATAAGAATGCGACTATTGTTATACCTCTCACATAACAACTCCCATGCAATAGTATAATGGTCACCCCTAAAATCAATATTTTCAATAATAAGAGCTGCACTTCCGTGCAATGAAGCTCGTAAATAATGAAATTTAGTGATGTCATTTATACTCGCGTTGTTGTGAACTAAACCTATAGTCCCTATAAGTTGTATAAAAATCAAAGTCTTGAGTCAACACAATAAAAAGATATGAGCAAACTTAGATTTTCGCGAAAACTTGTAAGTACCAAAATTTACCTTAATTATCAAGTTTTTTATTTTCGGAATTTTCCCTTTACTTGTGCTGTAGGCCCTTCAGTAACCTATAGGTTTTAGGTGGAAAACCTATATGGCATAAAGCAAGGGCTTACAGCACAGGTATAGGAAAAATTCCAAAAAATTAAAAAAGTGGAAAATTAAAGTTAAACTCGCACTTGAACGGAATTTTTAGAAAATATATACTTAATCATCCATATATTTTTCGGTCTGCTTCTACTTCTATATCCACACATACCTTCTCATAATATGCCCATAGCACCATAACCTATTACTCCTAAGCTTCTCTGTCACTGGTACTGTTTTCATACTTCATCTATACTTAATATTATAAAGAGGTAGACTTTGTTTATTTGTGTTTGTTTGTTTATTTGTTTGCTTGAACGCGCTAATCTCAGGAAGTACTAACCCGATTGCAAAAATTCTTTTACCATCACATAGCCCGTTTATTGAGGATGAGGAGGATATACATATCATCATGCTACTACGCAATGGAGCGGAGCATTAGTATAATATATAATCTATCTATTCCATACTAATCGTTAAAACGTACATAGGCATAACGGTGAGCTGTTAGTATAACATATTAATTCCTAAATTTTTCATATCTCGTAACTCCACACATCTCAATATTAATCATCTATCTCAATATTAATCATGCCTTTATCTCCTTTAATTTGTACCTTTAGTTAGATAACATTCTGTGACATACTCGTACAAAGGAAAGCCAGCTTACATGACTTTCTTTCTCTGTTCTTCTTTCTTTCTCTAGTTTTTTATCAAAGTGGAAGCACATGTAATATTATGTTTAGTAAAATATGGAAGAAAAAATGTCAGACTAAGTAAAAATTAAAATTTTGTCTATATTGACAAAAGAGTACATATCACGGACTGTTTGTAGGTAAAAAGGAGCATCAACAGTTACGGTTCTTTCGGTTGGACAAAAGCGCAGCTATCAATTTATTTGTTAACGTTATTAACGATATATATATTACTAAACGCACGCTTTAGTTTTACAAATAAAGGTAAGAGGTAAGCCAAATCCATATATCTATTATTATTTAAATATAATAGCATACCTATTGTTTCTTCGTTAGTAATGCCTTTTTATGAGATTTAAACCTTTTATTCGAAGAGCTCAATATATTTTCAATACATTTTTCATTTCACTAAACCGATTAATATAAAGAATGCAGCAAATAAGCAAAAGATTAGTTATCTTTATTTTTATTGGTTGATCCCCCTGGGTCGTATTTTTTAATATGTTTTATTATTTAAAAATATATTTTGTCTGGAAAAAGAGTAAGGGGTCCACCACTTTATCGGTCACTCCTTCTATATGGTATATTATGATTGATTGCGGCTGGTTTCATAGTAAAAAAAACAGAATAATCATTGCATTTCTAAAAATATTTAAATTCTTCTAGTAATGTGATTGCTCTCTTATTTATCAGATTTTTTCAAGAAGATTTTTTTTACAACATTCGGCTTCACCATTTGGATCTTGATGAAGGTGCAGTTCTTTGTAGTAGCTAAATACGTAAACAGCGCATTCAGGGATATAAACATTAGGTTGGAGGAGGTGTTATATGATCTAAATAATCAATGTAAGTTATATGTAACATCATTGTATTTTTTTTTCATTAAAGTAATTTTTTTCCTATTCTACTTCTAAATGTTCCGTAGCACTACAGTGTTAGAATTTAGAATATAGATGATGATTTTAAACAATTTAACTTCAAACAACTTGACTGGACGAGTTTTCTACTCTACATAATTATTGATAAAACTTTTGGTATTTAGGCTTATCATAGATCCTTACCTACAAAATTAACATCACCACGCAATAATCAATCTACGTATGTCAAATATACATCAAAACATTATGGACTAAGATCCCGCTGCAAGATTGCTACGTTCATAGCGTATTTAATCGAAATCAATTTTTTATATACAATAATAAAAGGGACAATAAGTTTTGACCGGGGTGCCTATTCAAATGTGCCCGCTAGTATGTTTAATTAACTAAATAAGAGTCGACTTTTTGGAACAAAAACGATGCATTTGTTATTATAATGAATTATACTCCACTTCACAGAACTTTACGTAGAGATCTTGAAAAATGATAGCTGCCGTTGCGCATTTGGCCGCAACCTCTTCGCAGCCAGGTGTAAGCGGGTCATATTTTGGGACATTTATACGTTCATCGCGTATGTTCATCATTTATATACCAAATTAAAGCAATTTTTTTCTGTACCTGATAAACTACGTCTGCCTATGTAAAAGTGGCCGCAAAAGTGGTTGCGAGTCATTAAAATTGTACTTGTTACATTTATACGTTCATGGCGGATAATCATCATTTATATATCAAATTAAAGCTATTTTTTTCTGTGCATGATAAAATACCTCTCACCTATGTAAAAGTGGCCGCAATGGAAAGAAAAGAAGGAAAGAATATAATATTATATATCATTTGTCAGACAATAACAACGGTAACGGTTTGACATGAAATTGAATGATTACATATTTAACAAAATTAACTCTATAGAGTCGCGACGTTTCAATATATTGGATATTAAAACGTCGCGACAAATAAAATTAAGATAAAATACTACAAGTGCCATAGAAGACCTCGTTATCGCACCTCGGGTCAAAATTTCCACCTTCTCCTGTCACGATTAATTTTAAAGGACCATTTGTTTCATCCTGATTTTTATGAGATGATGATCTGATGATGCTGTTGATCGAGGTGTGAAATTCTTTGTCTGTGATATTGGCATGCATTTCTTCTCCAATATCTTCTACATCGATATCAACATCAGAAATTCTTGGATCGTATTCATCAAAAATCGCATCCCCCTATATCATCGTCAAATGCTACAGATTCGGATAGTGCCAGCACTTGGCCAATAACTTGTTGAAGCTCGCGTTCAATATATTTCGCGTTCAAATTGCTAAACAGAATCTCCGTGAAATAGACGTAATCGATCTCGTGGAGCCATGAAAAATTCTCCGCACGTTTTATAGCTCTCAGGTTTTATTTTATTAACCTAGCGGTCCCCCAACGTGACGACGCTTTGATAAAATATTAATACTTTTATAAAACTTAAACGGCCAATACTTAATATTATTTTTTACTTTTTAGAGGATTTTCTGGGTCGGTATTTTTAAATTTTTAACTTAAGTTTTATTGCGATGTCATAGTTACTTACATTTAAAAATTATTTAAGCTTGCAATTTAAAGTCGAGTGCAAGAAAGCGAACTTTACACTAGCATATATAAAAATTACAATTTTATAGGCAAGGATCTAATATATTACCAGAATACAATTTGGAATAAAAATAAAATCAAAATAATTATAATTTTTAGAAAAGATGGCTAAATGTATTTCGTTTTTGATAAAAAATATGTGATTCTATATATACATCTATATGTATCACATAATCACAATGAATCACATAAATTGTGACTTTCTTTATATACCTACAGGTTGTCCTGTTAATTTAATAAAGTAAACAAAGTCAATAAAAAAATATTTTCGCTATTTTAATAAAATGGCATAAATTATACGTAATGAGGTAATGAATTTTCAATAAAATCATAAAATTTAGAAAATCTTGATAGCTGTAAATGTTTTACTCAAAATTTTTGGCTCTTCTCATAGGGCACGATCTCATCTCTTGCCAAATTTCGTTTAGACCACTATTAACAGGACATCCTATATAAACGAAGTCACAATTGATAATATCTCGTATTAAAATGAGTAAACCAACGTGCTGGTCACAGACGAAAAAAAGCTTTTGTCTAAGCTAAGCTACTTATATTTTCAGCTTCTGGTGTAAAAATTATGGGCCTACCTAGGCATGTATCCAAAGGCGCTTTGAATATACCGATACAGTCCGTAAATATCGCAATAGATTTAATTGGAAATTCAGAGAGGACTTACCCAAGTATAAGTATGCACTTTGCATTTTATGGTATTTAGCAGCTTCTGAATTCACTAACGTTTTTTTGAGTTCGCAAATACCTTTAAGCCCTGAAATAAATTAACCGGAACCAAACAATCTTAATGTTGTTTAGTACCATACGCCATAGATTTTTTAAAGACAAAAAGACAAATACTCGTAATTATTTAGAATTAATTAATTGTAATTTTCAAACCCCCACGAAGTGTTAGCCCAGGGGCCTCAAATACACGGTCTGCATCAGCGTACATTGTAGCGGTAAGAATAGTACACCTGGGCCATCGAGCTTCGCTCGGAGTTTTTGGTCAAAAGTACAATGTTCTTTAAAAAAAAGCTAAAAACTTGAATAAATACAAAAAAAAAAAAAAATATACCTTTGTATCCGACCGCGATTCGAATCCGGACACCTATGATTGTCAATGTTGCTCATTGGCCGCATGACCGTGATGCTTTTGCACAAGCTTGCGCAATTATCGACCATATTTTGCGGAATAATGCGAAAGAAAACCGCATGAAAATTCGAAAACACGCGTTTCCTTTTATACCTAAAATAACTAATATTAAGTATTTTAAATATAAAAAGGAATTTTATACTATTCTTATAGATATGGAAAGAGCGAAATTGGTGACCACAATTCAACAGCTATCCATTGCCTATGCCTCAAGTTGTGGCGTTGTGAGAGATATGTGTGACACAGAGAGCTTCTACTTCTTCATGTACTTTTTTAGATTTACTTTACACATTGCGATTACTTTAATCAATATTATTGATATAATAAGGGCTGAGGGTAGGTATATTTTGAATTATATTTTTATATTATACTATATGTTAGACTCGAAGATTGAAATCGTTCATTCAACTCAAAAATACTATAAGCTGCTCCGACTAGTGGTCCTAGTCATTTTTGATCCTAAAGCATTGTGATTGGGAAGAAATGGTATAATGCGTTGTGAACGTAAGCTATCCTGTTTTTGTAAGTAACAGCTAATGTATAATTCAGATCATATTATGTTATGGTATTTCTTGCGAACCACAATGCATTGTGGTCAACAATCGTGAGAGCTACAATGCAAAATATGTATTATGCCTTTTTTGAGCTAACCCAAAAATGTTGTGGTCGCTATTTACGCACAGAGAGCTATTCCGGTATTTGAGTCTAGAATATACATACAATACATACAAGTTGCTATCTATCTGCCTCTGTCCTTTACTCTTCTAATTTCTAAACCACGCCATGGATTTCGATACAGTTTTCGCTAATAGAAAAAGCGATACAAAAAGCTTACTGAACTGTGATTGTTTTGTCAAAAAAATATTCATACGCTTATGTTATGATCCAAGATCCCAGGGCCGCCAGACGACACATATTTTTTGTCGAACGAAAGGTGGACGATTGGGTAGTGTTAGTATGTACTAATATCGCATGCCTACCTGCTAACTTGGTTAGACGGCCAATTTCCAGGTATCAGGTAATCAAGGTACCTCAAAAGCTTACTTACCTCACGCACATTCTTCAAACTGATTTCACGTATATTTTAGACAATATCGTTAAAAATAAGCCGTCAATACTCCCAGACATTTTCCGTCGGCCGTATTGCTTTGCAGACGCTTCAAAGGTCCCAAAACAATTTCTTAACTTCACGTAAATTCGGAGGCTCTATTTTTATATTTGTTCGCCAGACAACTATTTTAAAACCTTTTACAAGAAGACAGACCGATCCAAGGGGCCCATCATCCCTTAAACTCAAAAACACTACCCAATCGTCCACATTTCGTTCGTCAGAAAATACGTGACGTCTGGCGGCCCTGGGATCTTGCTCTAATAGTGTGGTTATCTGCTAACAAAATAGATGCTTCCAATCGATGTCGCGACATCACTCTGTTTGCATGTCCTGGATGGAAAATGAATTAATATTTTTTTATTTCTTACAGTAATAGTATCAGAGCTTATTATAGAGCTTATCTGGATGATTTCCAACATTTTGAAAATATTACTAGTCGTGGAGGCCTGTAATGAAACACAGGAATTGGTATTGGTGCTTTATAGTATATATAATAAAAAAAATTTATGTAATTGTCATAAAAACTATTCACGAGTCTTTATTGTTTAATTTAAATGTAATATTTCTATGTCGGATAAAATGTGCATTGACATCAAGAGAAACATAGACAGATGCAGTAGGTACTTCTGCAAGGAAATTATAATAAAACTATAAGAACCTCCTCTTTTTTGAAAGTCGATTAACAAATAACATCTACAGGTGGCACATACACGACTTCGCGTAGGTCAAGTGATGGCTCTCGCTACGACAGAAGCCGACCCACTGTTGGACGCGGTCGATACATTCTACAATCAACTGCTTTTGAACAAAGTCTCTTATTCAATTTTGGATACTGGACATCTCGATAGACGCATTATATATACGGTATAGTTTTATTGATTTTTTTCTGCGCTTTCTTATAGTGAAAACACACAACAGATTAATTTACATACAGATAATATTTTGTATATTATTCATGTAAATAAACCTCAAATATCCAAATGGCGTAAACTTAGATGCATAATTGTTAGTTTTTAATGAGTAAAGGGTAGTTTGTACTACGGCAATTTGAGTTATTTATTTACTTTTATAAATAGCATTTAATTTCATAGTTTTGAATTCTTAAACTATTATTATTGCATCTTTCTTACAGTTTTGTAGTTTATATTCCTACATGATTCAAATTATTTCCTTTGTTTTAAAATTATAACTCCCAGCACTTATTGGTTTCTAACTCCGGATTTAATATTATTCTAAGCTGCTGATGGAACTTATATGTAACTAGCGTCCCTGGTTACGTTTAAGGTTTATTAAAGATTTCTTAGAGATGAGGTATTTTCCCGCAGTAAAAAGTATCCTATATATTAACCCGGATAACCAGCTATCATTATACCAAATTTTATCAAAATCTGTCCAGTGGTTTTTTCGTGATGCGGTCACAGACAGGCAGACAAAAATTATAAAAACTATAGATTTTGCCTCTGTATCGATAATAATGACTATTTCAATAAGATTTTGAAATGAATATTTAATGTTTCAAATGAAAATTTATTAAAAAAATTGTTAACATACATGCAAGTTAAATCTTATATTCGGCTAATCACTTATATCTTTTTTATGCTATACGCAAGTTACTGTTTTTATATTGTAAGGTCAACATGTCTCACTCTTCTAAAAACTTGCTTTACTGGTAAAAGCTAGCCAAGTCAAATCTAGAACTTCAATTTATCCTAAGTTATCTACTCTGTGTAAATAATTCAACTGTTAACATTTAAGAAGTTCTATTTTTAAATAGAAAACACTTTTGTAGCAGAAAAAAACAAGAAATCGTGTTTAAAATTTATTTTAGAATGTTGTATGTTCTTATGAAAAAATTTAAGGATTATTTACAGAATTTGGCACCCATTTTCACATTTATGTTTTTGATGGAACTAGATGGTGCTGTGTGTTAATGTCCCAACATATAATGTCCATACTCGTACATACTATAGTTTTGATAATTCATATTATTAATATTTTATTTTCTTTAATTGCAGGTTGCAGGGTGTGCTACAACTTTGTTGATAATTTTTCAATACACCTAGATTAATAATTTTGACTATGTTTGATAGTAGCAGAATTTTTACCAGTGTGATTATATTAGTAATTTTGATTTAAAAATTCTGCTATCTTCTTTTATAATGTGAGCTCTGCACTAAATCCCATTGCGCTATCGCACTGAGACTACTAGACTAGTCCATTTTGCTGCACTTACTTTTAAAAAGTATAATTAAAAA